GAAATATAGTTCAGAATGAGTTCTCCAGATCTGATTTATCTAAACATCACTTCTTATTTCAAGAGATCTCACCAAGCTAATTTTCACGCAGATTTTTGTACTTATTTCAAGAGAAAACAGCTTGTTTTCATTATTGTTTAACTTGTTTGTGGAGCGGCAGAAGAGAAAGCAAAGCACTTCTTCTGCCCGCGTCTCTTTCCTCAGCTTCAATTCAATAGAGTAATGCTCAGGTGCTTACAGCGTACAGGACAGTTTGTATACGCTGGTTTTCTCCAATGAAATGGAATAAATAAAGCATCTCAACGCAAAGACAGCGTCCAGTTACTCTGGAATCAGGGCTGTCCAACACGTCGATCTGAAAAGCTGCCCGCGAGCTGCCGGTAGCTCGCGGGCAGCTTTTCAGTAGCTCGCCGCTCGATTATAGCGTAGTGAGGTTGCTTCTTGATTTTTCGGCCGCGCTGGACAATAAAGTTTTTTTATTTTAGAATTGTTTCTGTCACACGAATATCAAATTGGTCGGTGACGCAGAGATCAAGGAACAGACGTGACGGCACAGCGACACCACACACGGAGCAGTCTGCTTCCTCCAGCAGCACCAGAACCAACAGCAGAAGGACCCGCTCTGAATCAGGCCTGTCGCTGCGGCTCAGAGACACAGGGAGGGATTTGTGTTTTTTGAAAAACACTCGTCATCATCATGTCAGGTTTTTGGTGGATTTAATGAAGTCTTGGATTGCAGAGGATGAAAGTCCTCTTGCTATTTTCAGTTGATAAATACTTGTGTGAAGTTTGTGAAGGCAGGAGGAAAGCTCCCGCGATCACCGTCTCCTCTGTTCCTCCAAGCCCCGCCCCCTCCTGAAATAATGAGTGACAGGCTGATAGTGACCCGATAGAACCTTTATTATTCACTTAATCACTGAGATATAATGAAGCTAACTTAATCTCATACATTCATGGGATTAATGTAACAGTAAGACAGAGAATGTGAGTGTGCACCCACATGCACTATTTTAGTTGTTATAGCTGTTGTAAATACTCCTGTTGTCTGCTGTGTTCAGACTCAAGTCCTGTGTGTGATGCCACAGGACATTCAGTGTCCTTTTTTAACAGAAGGCCGTTGCTAGAAGCTGCAGCTCGACTGCAGAAGCATTATCTTTTTGTTTTTGAGGATGGAACAACTTCACACACCGATATAGGGAGGCTCGACCTACAGTTGATTTATTATGGTTTATAATTTAATGTCAACACGAAGAAGATGAAAAAGATGGCTGCACTGTTCAGTGTCAATCCTGTGGAGATGGAGGTTATAAATATCCAAAATCATGTTCAGCTTAAGTCTCAGCAAAACTCACAACATGTCTGGATCCTTGTAGACCCAGAAAACGATAAGAGCATCACCAAGCAGCACTGAACACGCTTTATTTGGCTCTACAGACCTTTGTGAAGCAGCTTTTTCTGACATGAATGAAATCTAAATACAGAACTAGACTGACTGATGAACATTTAAATGACTCTATTAGAGTGAAGCTAAGTGGGTCCACTCCAGCAGACCGCTCTATGGTGGACTCCATGCAGCGCCATTCATCTCACTGACTGTGAAAAAGAGTGAATGCACTTATTTGACCATAAGTGCACGATGCTTGTAAGGTGGTGATTAAGGACATGAATGTGAATTCTCAGTGAAGTACTCACTATGTGGGTCATAATAATATGTGAGACATTTTCGTTTTCTTGGACCTTGATGTGAAGTTAAGATTTGTGATAAACTTTAGGGATTGCAATTTCACACGTGTACAAAAGTAGCTTAATTCAACTGATGAGCGCTCTGTGAATACATGTAAGTAAAGTGATGCAAGTAGCTCTTGGCCACTTTCATTTTTTCAAAGTAGCTCTCAGATGGAGAAAGGTTGGAGACCCCCGCTCTGGATAATCTGGAGGAACTACTTCTTCAACTAAAAGCAAGATCTGTTTTGTTCCCATCATGCTAACATCTTTAAATGTTAATCTTATCATTCTTGTCATATATTAAAACGTAATAAGTTGAAGGCTGGGAAGCTGTGGCGCAGTGGAATAGTGCGTTGGTGTTGGGATCAGGGCGGCACAGGTTCAAACCCCACTGCAGTCGTTGTGTCCCTGGGACTCTTCACCCCAAAGTGCTCCTGTGAGGATCGCCCACAGTATTGAGTATGTGAGTCGCTTTGGATAAAAGCGTCTAACAAGTGACATGTGATGTAATGTTAAAGTGTAATTATCAATTAGCTGTATTATGGGAAATATTTGTAACATCCCAGTGATCCAGACGGGATAAAGAGGCGGAGATTATTCCTGCTGCTTTCTTTGTTCCTGAGGGAGAAGTTAGCATGAAGCTACTCACTATCTGTCTCTGTAGCTAAACACCTCGAGAGGTACGTGAGAACATGTACTTCTGTGTCCTTCGAGAATCTGTTTGAAGCTCCAGAGTTTCAGTGAAGACATGAAACAGAAGAGATGATAGGTGAGATGTTAACAGCGTGAACACGGAGGCACGCCGTCTCATCACTTTCATTATTAATAAGAGAGAGAGGTTTCTGCTGCTCAGATAAAAGTCACACAGAGCTTCAGATGAAATGCAGTCACAGTGAGACTCTGACTCGCTGCAACATGATAGCAACGTAAACATGGAGGCATCATTCAACCAGAGCTTTGTAATGAATGATTAATACTCTGACTCTGTGGGGGTCTCGCTATTCGACAGACAGAGAAAGAGACGGATGCGAGGGAAGTGTCTTCTCCCTCTTCTCCAGCTCGCCCGAAAACACCAGACTCTCTGCTCTGCAGGCGATCCATTGAACACACCAATTATATTCTGAGTAACAATGGCCATAAATCAGCGGTTGCTTTCTCCCTCACGTCTTAAAGGGTCCCTCGTAAAGAATGTAAGGCATGCAGACGAGCTTCTAATGAGTAATGAGCGGGATTCAGCCAGAGATTTAAGATCTGCAGGCATTTTAATGGGGCTTTGCATGTAAATGGTCTGCAGAGGCTAAAATCCCTGTGCTCTGGACTCTAGAGCAGTGATTCTCAAATGGGGGTACGCGGACCCCTAGGGGTACGTTGGGGTACTGCAGGGGGTACGTGAGATTTAAAAAAAAGGAAAAAAAATACCATGCATGATTACAAAAATAATCTTAGTACAATAAGTTAAATAGAAAACACAATTTTCTATAAAATATTCCTAGAACCACCAAGGGGTCAAAATGTGTGTATTGTATTTTATAGTTTTTCACAATATATCATTTTGTTCATTGGTTTGTTAAACAGATATTCAGTTAAAAAACTCCTTGGAAAAATCTGTTATTTCTTTTCATGCATAAAATGAAAATATCCTTAGTTTGTTGTAATTCATGCACGAAGGAGTTAGTAAATCTCACACTGAGGGAACATCACTATATTGTAATTATTTATAGGCTTTTTCTAAATGTCCGGGGTCGGTCAGGGGTACCTGGCGGAGAACATGCTTGAAAGACTGCTGGAGAGCGAGCTGTTAAGAGACGACCCACAGATGTGAAGAAAATCGTCCATTATTATGAGTGCGGAGTTTAATGTCGTTTTATGGATAAATATCGCCCGTTCCCTGAAGACGATCCTCCAATAATTCTCTTACTGCTAATCACTCACCAAAAGTGCAATCATGTAGAATTTAATAATGTAATACATTTCCTAAATCCCTCGTTTGTCTCGTTTTTATCTCGGAGCTTCGCGGCCGTTTTAATCTGAGATATTCCCATAGAGAGATTCCTCAGGGATTTACTAAGAGCAGGAAGATGAGTGCCGGCGCTGCACTCTGTCACGATGCAAAGCTGCATTGTTCTGTCAGGAGGAGGAAGGAACGCTCCGCTCGCAATCCTTGACATCTCATCTTTAATGGACGGTTCACTTTATTGGATTGATCGCAATCCGTGGACAAACTACACGCTGGACTCCGTTAAGATCCTCGTTAAACATTCATCTGTTTGTCATTTTGCAATCTACTTATTTATCTAAATAGTTATCACTGCAATAAACCGTATTTAATTCCGTCTTAATGGACATTATTTAATTTCATATTCTGTTCTTGTACATATCATATTCTATTTACATGTATATCGACTTTTGCTGTCCCGTTTTGTCCTCCTCCAACATGAGAGTCACATGATGACAGAGGTATCAACTGCAGCTGTGAACATGACAGGATGTGTGATTACCTAGAAGAGTATCAGGACTGTTTGAGGCATATGATAGCTATGTGATTAACATGAGGATTCAGCCTCTATGGAGAGAGACATCAAGCATGCTCATTTCTGACGTGGAGCTAATCTGAAGTAAACATTGAATACTGCTTTCTATTCCTCCATCTTGTGACTGTGTAACTCCCTCTCTTGATATCAGCATGTGAAGGACACTGTTCAGGAACTAGTTGATGCTCTGTATGTGATGACTCCTTCCACTCTGGAGAGGATCACAGACACATGGATCCTGAGATGAAGCTCAAGCCGGGGACCAGGGAGAGTTAACATTTTAGTTTTCAGAAAAAGTCAGATTTGTGAGATTTTTGAGAAAAAGTCAGAATTTTGAGAAAAAAAAAATCGTACTTTTGAGATTTTGAGAAAAAGTTAGAATTTCGAAATTTTTAGGAAAAAGTCAAAATGTTGAGAAAAAGTCCAAATGCTTAGGAAAAGTCCAAATGCTTAGGAAAAGTCCAAATGCTTAGGAAAAGTCCAAATACTTAGGAAAAGTCCAAATACTTAGGAAAAGTCCAAATACTTAGGAAAAGTCCAAATACTTAGGAAAAGTCAGATTTGTTTTGAGAAAAGTCCGAATTTTTGGAGAAAAGTCAGAATTTTTGGAGAAAAGTCAGAATTTTTGGAGAAAAGTCAGAATTTTTGGAGAAAAGTCAGGATTTTGAGATTTGAAGCTCAAGCCCTGAGCAGTGAGACTTTTCTAACACATTTCATGCCTGTTCGTGTAAAACAAGTGTTTACCTGCAGGAGGAAGAGGAGTGTCGTCTTCTTCTTCTGAAGCCAGCAGACACCCCGAGGAGAAGCTGATGTCGTCCAGGCAGATGTCTCCCTTTGGGTTTTTGCCCACTTTGCCCTCAAACACCACCTGGAAGTCTTCTTCTTGGCGGCTCAGCTGGACCTCCACCCTCTGCCAGGCGTGACCCTGATCCCCCGTCAGGTTCAACAGCAGATCAAACCCTCTTGCTTCACCTCCTCTGAACACACTGAGGGTCCCGATGCCTTCTCCGGACATGTGGGAAAAGAAACGCACCTGCAGAGAAAACCTTTCAGTTTGTGTGTACAGAGATCGAAATACCGTTTCCCACAATCCCGAACACAAAAGTACAAATATATATAAAATATGTCTACAAATATGTATATAGCTAAGGTGGAGAGAAGAGACATGTGACAGGAACTGAGAGGCGTCCAATTAGGACTTTCCTTTCTCCGAAGGAGAGTAAGAAACCATCGTAACAGAGGGGAGAGGTTTGATTATGTCTCTCGATCGATTCCCCTTTCTCCTTGTCTTTATTAAAGCAGTAACACAACATAGTCTCTCCCTCACGCTGCACTGAGGCACTTATGTTGTTTTTTGCACACTCTTCATCTCAGGAGAGCGTTTGCCCTTCCTCCTCTTCCTCTTCCTCCCTTCCTCTTCCTCCCTTCCTTCACTTTAATTGGTGCCTTTTCGCCGGCTGTATGATTGATTGACAGGTCCAGAGAGGGATAAGACAGATGAGACGCAGAGCACACTGAGCTGTCAATCAACACACACACACACACACCCACACACACACACACACACACACACACACACACACACACACACACACACACACACACACAGCTAAATCGACCGTCTCATTCACTCCAAATTGTAATTGGTTGTTTAGTTGCAAAACGTTTTCAATAGCAGGCTGATCTTCCCTGCTGAGAGTTAGAGGAGGGGGTCGACACCACCGTAATAAATATGAAGACCTTGCAAAGAAAAGAATGCGTTTATTATACGTTTACATGCCGTTTTGTTATTATTATTCCCCTCACCTGGCAGTGTTTGCTGCGGCGGCTCAGCAGGGGTCCTGAGATTCGGGCGGAGTTTCCTGCTGCCTGCGGGAAAGAGCCCTCCAGGTACAGGTAGTGTCCGGAGGGGTCTCTGAGGGTGTGGTCGCTGATTGGCCCCGTGCCGCCTGTAAGAGTGCTGCCCGCTTTGATCAGCCAATCAAAATCATCCATTCCACTCTGACGCCACGAACAGAGATCGAACTCAAAGCTGCAGCGAGAACTGAAACCTTCTGAAAACACAACGGGACGATGTTTACGATTTAAAGTTTCAACATTCAAGGCTTTTATTGTCATGTGAAAAAGAGGGTCCCTCACGGCAGATGTAGGGCTCCTCGTCTGATTGGTCCCCGCAGTGATCGATGAAGTCACACAGCTGATCCTGGGAGATGCAGTTCTGGTTCCTGCAGGTGAACTGCTCAGGTGTGCAGGGGTCACCTGAGGAGGGGGGGGGGGACGCAGTGCAGGAAGGTGACATCATCGATCACCACGTCGCCCATATAGCTGATCCCTCGCTTCGCCCTGAACACCACCTGAAAACAAAAAGTACACACATCCTTTACTCGAGTGGAAGTACAGATACTCGTGTTTAAAAATACTCTGGTGAAAGTAGAAGTACTGACTCAACTTCTTTCCTCAAGTCAAAGTAAAGAGGCTTTGAAGTGTACTTCAGTAAAAAGTACCCATAACTAGCAGCTGCTTTAAAGAGTACCTGACCTCCCTTTATATTAATAGAACAATAATGTCATTGTTAGCTAATGAATGTTTCCATGCTGAACAACGGCAACATGACAACGTTTCCATTGGTCCCTCTTCTTTAGAGAAGACCAGGAAATGATGGATACACGGATCGTGTTCAAATCAATAGGCACGCAATGACTCTAAAGAATAATGATCACGCATCAAACACACATTCAGACTAAAGGAACCAGCTGTTTGGGAAATGAGAGAAGTAGAAAGTACAAGTATTTGAGTTCAACATGTAAGAAGTAGAAAGTACAGGTATTTGTGTTCAACATGTAAGAAGTAGAAAGTACAGGTATTTGAGTTCAACATGTAAGAAGTAGAAAGTTCAGGTATTTGAGTTCAACATGTGAGAAGTAGAAAGTACAAGTATTTGAGTTCAACATGGAAGAAGTAGAAAGTACAGGTATTTGAGTTCAACATGTAAGAAGCAGAAAGTACAAGTATTTGAGTTCAACATGGAAGAAGTAGAAAGTACAGGTATTTGAGTTCAACATGTGAGAAGTAGAAAGTTCAGGTATTTGAGTTCAACATGTGAGAAGTAGAAAGTACAGGTATTTGAGTTCAACATGTAAGAAGTATAAAGTACAGGTATTTGAGTTCAACATGTAAGAAGTAGAAAGTACAGGTATTTGAGTTCAACATGTGAGAAGTAGAAAGTACAGGTATTTGAGTTCAACATGTGAGAAGTAGAAAGTACAGATATTTGAGTTCAACATGTAACAAGTAGAAAGTACAGGTATTTGAGTTCAACATGTAAGAAGTAGAAAGTTCAGGTATTTGGGTTCAACATGTAAGAAGTAGAAAGTACAGGTATTTGAGTTCAACATGTAAGAAGTAGAAAGTTCAGGTTATTGGTTCAACATGTAAGAAGTAGAAAGTACAGGTATTTGAGTTCAACATGTAAGAAGTAGAAAGTACAGTATTTGAGTTCAACATGTAAGAAGTAGAAAGTACAGGTATTTGTGTTCAACATGTGAGAAGTAGAAAGTACAGGTATTTGTGTTCAACATGTAAGAAGTAGAAAAGTACAGGTATTTGTGTTCAACATGTGAGAAGTAGAAAGTACAGGTATTTGTGTTCAACATGTAAGAAGTAGAAAGTACAGGTATTTTGTGTTCAACATGTAAGAAGTAGAAAGTACAGGTATTTGAGTTCAACATGTAAGAAGTAGAAAGTACAGGTATTTGTGTTCAACATGTAAGAAGTAGAAAGTACAGGTATTTGAGTTCAACATGTAAGAAGTAGAAAGTACAGGTATTTGAGTTCAACATGTGAGAAGTAGAAAGTACAGGTATTTGTGTTCAACATGTGAGAAGTAGAAAGTACAGATATTTGTGTTCAACATGTAAGAAGTAGAAAGTACAGGTATTTGAGTTCAACATGTAAGAAGTAGAAAGTACAGGTATTTGAGTTCAACATGTGAGAAGTAGAAAGTACAGGTATTTGTGTTCAACATGTAAGAAGTAGAAAGTACAGGTATTTGAGTTCAACATGTAAGAAGTAGAAAGTACAGGTATTTGAGTTCAACATGTGAGAAGTAGAAAGTACAGATATTTGAGTTCAACATGTAAGAAGTAGAAAGTACAGGTATTTGTGTTCAACATGTGAGAAGTAGAAAGTACAGGTATTTGTGTTCAACATGTAAGAAGTAGAAAGTACAGGTATTTGAGTTCAACATGTAAGAAGTAGAAAGTACAGGTATTTGAGTTCAACATGTAAGAAGTAGAAAGTACAGGTATTTGTGTTCAACATGTAAGAAGTAGAAAGTACAGGTATTTGAGTTCAACATGTAAGAAGTAGAAAGTACAGGTATTTGAGTTCAACATGTAAGAAGTAGAAAGTACAGGTATTGAGTTCAACATGTGAGAAGTAGAAAGTACAGGTATTTGAGTTCAACATGTAAGAAGTAGAAAGTACAGGTATTTGAGTTCAACATGTAAGAAGTAGAAAGTACAGGTATTTGTGTTCAACATGTAAGAAGTAGAAAGTACAGGTATTTGAGTTCAACATGTAAGAAGTAGAAAGTTCAGGTATTTGTGTTCAACATGTAAGAAGTAGAAAGTACAGGTATTTGGGTTCAACATGTAAGAAGTAGAAAGTACAGGTATTTGAGTTCAACATGTAAGAAGTAGAAAGTACAGGTATTTGTGTTCAACATGTAAGAAGTAGAAAGTACAGGTATTTGTATTCAACATGTAAGAAGTAGAAAGTACAGGTATTTGAGTTCAACATGTAAGAAGTAGAAAGTACAGGTATTTGTATTCAACATGTAAGAAGTAGAAAGTACAGGTATTTGAGTTCAACATGTGAGAAGTAGAAAGTACAGGTATTTGTATTCAACATGTAAGAAGTAGAAAGTACAGGTATTTGTATTCAACATGTAAGAAGTAGAAAGTACAGGTATTTGGTTCAACATGTAAGAAGTAGAAAGTACAGGTATTTGTGTTCAACATGTAAGAAGTAGAAAGTACAGGTATTTGGTTCAACATGTAAGAAGTAGAAAGTACAGGTATTTGTATTCAACATGTAAGAAGTAGAAAGTACAGGTATTGTGTTCAACATGTAAGAAGTAGAAAGTACAGGTATTTGTGTTCAACATGTAAGAAGTAGAAAGTACAGGTATTTGAGTTCAACATGTAAGAAGTAGAAAGTACAGGTATTTGTGTTCAACATGTAAGAAGTAGAAAGTACAGGTATTTGAGTTCAACATGTAAGAAGTAGAAAGTACAGGTATTTGTGTTCAACATGTAAGAAGTAGAAAGTACAGGTATTTGTATTCAACATGTAAGAAGTAGAAAGTACAGGTATTTGTATTCAACATGTAAGAAGTAGAAAGTACAGGTATTTGAGTTCAACATGTAAGAAGTAGAAAGTACAGGTATTTGTATTCAACATGTAAGAAGTAGAAAGTACAGGTATTTGAGTTCAACATGTGAGAAGTAGAAAGTACAGGTATTGTGTTCAACATGTAAGAAGTAGAAAGTACAGGTATTTGTATTCAACATGTAAGAAGTAGAAAGTACAGGTATTTGAGTTCAACATGTAAGAAGTAGAAAGTACAGGTATTTGGGTTCAACATGTAAGAAGTAGAAAGTACAGGTATTTGAGTTCAACATGTAAGAAGTAGAAAGTACAGGTATTTGAGTTCAACATGTAAGAAGTAGAAAGTACAGGTATTTGGGTTCAACATGTAAGAAGTAGAAAGTACAGGTATTTGTGTTCAACATGTAAGAAGTAGAAAGTACAGGTATTTGAGTTCAACATGTAAGAAGTAGAAAGTACAGGTATTTGGGTTCAACATGTAAGAAGTAGAAAGTACAGGTATTTGTGTTCAACATGTAAGAAGTAGAAAAGTACAGGTATTTGAGTTCAACATGTAAGAAGTAGAAAGTACAGGTATTTGAGTTCAACATGTAAGAAGTAGAAAGTACAGGTATTTGTGTTCAACATGTGAGAAGTAGAAGTACAGGTATTTGTGTTCAACATGTAAGAAGTAGAAAGTACAGGTATTTGTGTTTCAACATGTAAGAAGTAGAAAGTACAGGTATTTGTGTTCAACATGTGAGAAGTAGAAAGTACAGGTATTTGAGTTCAACATGTAAGAAGTAGAAAGTACAGGTATTTGTGTTCAACATGTAAGAAGTAGAAAGTTCAGGTATTTGTGTTCAACATGTAAGAAGTAGAAAGTACAGGTATTTGTGTTCAACATGTGAGAAGTAGAAGTACAGGTATTTGAGTTCAACATGTAAGAAGTAGAAAGTACAGGTATTTGTGTTCAACATGTAAGAAGTAGAAAGTACAGGTATTTGTGTTCAACATGTAAGAAAGTAGAAGTACAGGTATTTGAGTTCAACATGTAAGAAGTAGAAAGTACAGGTATTTGAGTTTCAACATGTGAGAAGTAGAAAGTACAGGTATTTGAGTTCAACATGTAAGAAGTAGAAAGTACAGGTATTTGTGTTCAACATGTAAGAAGTAGAAAGTACAGGTATTTGAGTTCAACATGTAAGAAGTAGAAAGTACAGGTATTTGAGTTCAACATGTAAGAAGTAGAAAGTACAGGTATTTGAGTTCAACATGTAAGAAGTAGAAAGTACAGGTATTTGTGTTCACATGTGAGAAGTAGAAAGTACAGGTATTTGAGTTCAACATGTAAGAAGTAGAAAGTACAGGTATTTGTGTTCAACTGTAAAAGTAGAAAGTACAGGTATTTGTTCAACATGTAAGAAGTAGAAAGTACAGGTATTTGAGTTCAACATGTGAGAAGTAGAAAGTACAGGTATTTGAGTTCAACATGTAAGAAGTAGAAAGTACAGGTATTTGTGTTCAACATGTAAGAAGTAGAAAGTACAGGTATTTGAGTTCACATGTAAGAAGTAGAAAGTACAGGTATTTGAGTTCACATGTAAGAAGTAGAAAGTACAGGTATTTGTGTTCAACATGTGAGAGTAGAAAGTACAAGGTATTTGAGTTCAACATGTAAGAAGTAGAAAGTACAGGTATTTGTGTTCAACATGTAAGAAGTAGAAGTACAGGTATTTGTGTTCAACATGTAAGAAGTAGAAAGTACAGGTATTTGAGTTCAACATGTGAGAAGTAGAAAGTACAGGTATTTGAGTTCAACATGTAAGAAGTAGAAAGTACAGGTATTTGAGTTCAACATGTAAGAAGTAGAAAGTACAGGTATTTGAGTTCAACATGTGAGAAGTAGAATTATGATATATTAGAGCATACCGGGAGCAACAAGCATCTTTCCCTCTTTATTTGGATCTGGGGATCAAACTACTGACCCTCTGATTGGTAGACGACCATTTAACCAATGAGAGAGTGGCAGTTTAAGACCACTTTTACTTGGGGGGCCATCGCTGGGTCCAGTTATTTTTTTTTCGTTGATAGTGCACAAAAACAAATGAACCCATCACAACTACTTTGCCTCAAATGAAAGCCCAGTGTTTGCTCAGTGCTATAAGGACACTAAAACCCTGCTGCTCTATTCAAATCACATTTTCTTAAGAAACAGGGGTTGATATTGCATTGCAACATGAGAGCTGCTCAAGAGAGCGATGTTATTCTGCAGACATTTGATGAGAAGGGCATTTGGACTCTAGCAAAGGTGCAGGAATGACCATCGGTGCATGTCTCTATCTGACAAAGGTTAATGTGCAGGAATTAAAATGTGTAAAGGTCGTGGTATTCCGTCAAAGAAACGGCGTAACATTAGACTCCTGTCACCGAACTGGGGTAACCTCACACACACCACACACCACACACACACACACACACACACACACACCACACACACACACACACACAAACACACACCACACACACAACACACACACACACACACACACACACACACACACACACACACACACACACACACACACACACACACACACACACCACACACGCACACACGCACACACGCACACACACACACACACACTAGACTAAATTAGACTCAATCAATCCATCGATCAGTGTGTCTGCGAGTCCAATTTAGCTCGGTGTCACTGAATTAGGCCAATTACCCTGATGTGACTGAGCTGTCTTCTTAGATTAGCGTTAATAATCTGAGTCACAGTGTGTTATGGTTTGATGACACTGGAATACACAATGTTTTAAAGTTGTGAATAAAACAAATGTACTTTTTCCAAGAGATTCTCCCAGCCTTTCCCCCATAGGAATGAATGGGGAATCGACCTGAACCAAGCTCAAAATCACCCGACTTTGAAGTCATACTGATTCGCCATACTTTATCGTAGGTGAAAGATTAAAGGTTTAAACAGCTCTCCAGACTCTCAGCTTTATTGGACTAAAAGGGTTTTATGATAGACTGAACAGTTCTCATGAAATCCCACAGTTTCAGTTTTGGTACATTTTCACTGTTTCAGATGTTACAATGGGTGTGTATGGGACGGAATGTTCGCAGTGATGACTTCAGAGGGTCTTTCAAACCCCCTGATCTTAAACCTGCTCTAAATGCCATAATTATCACTCTTTTTCACATCATTTGAAATTCTTCTAGAAGCTAAATGAGTCAGCAATGTCTCGATGCTATCATGATATCAAACTGACTTACAAATCTGGCACACAAGTGTCTTTGAATGATAAAAACTCCGGTGTTAAACTTCTGAATGAGACAGAGGATACCTTGTACTTTCTCTAACACCCTTTTAAAATTAAAATAAAACCAATGCCTCCATAACGCTGGCAATAAGTGCATCAGGGCCGACAACAAGTGGCGGTCACACAGCGAGGGGACGTTCTAGTTATAATTATTGATTAAAAACATTGATATTGATGATTTAAAATCCATTTGAGAGTATATTTACAGACCTGGAAGTTGTTTACAATGCCTATAAACATTTCTCCTCGTCTCCATTTGTTCCCCTGACTTCCAGACTGAGACCAGACCTCATGAGTGGAGTTTCCGTACTTCAGCAGCACCTGCAGAAAAAGACACAACAACAACAGATTCTGATTAAATCCCTTCAACACGGATCATTTCTCCTGTTTTCCCTCCTCGTACCTGCAGTGATCCCACGGTGAACCCGCTCATGTGGTACCAGAAGACCAGAGTGCATTGTGGTCCGTTGGAGGTCATAACAGGTGTTTGGGAGGTCGCTGGTTTGACCGTATCCTCCGTTTGAGCTGTCGGCGCACATGTACCATCCCTCTGGACCCCCGCTGGCAGAGAAACACGGATTCAAATCAGAATTATGGCCCAAACATCAAGTCCAAAAGTGAAAAAGTGCCACCTTATCCTCCGTTAGTGAGCTTCCACATGTCTTATTGTGTGTTGGTGCTCCCAGTTAAAGCCTAATTGCTCATACGTTGCATTAAGTCACAAGCTATTTCACTTTACTTTCCAAATAATTAACTATTATTAGGTATTAACACTTAAACACTTACCATCTGAATAGTTTAACCAATTAACGCATATTTAGGAGATGACGGGATGTTTGGATCTGTGCGGAGCTGCGAGCTTCATAAAACACACATCCACAATGTTTATATGAGTTAAGATACTACAGATGAAGTTATTCTTTGCCTATGTTGATTATCAGTTTTGGAAACCAGAGCTAACAAACGGTCCTGATCAAAGTATTGAGCTCGACATCCAGCAAGCTTTAAACTGCCAATTACAATGTAATATGAGTTTCGCTGTAATTGCACTTAGTCTTTTTTATGCTTCACTTCTTTAATTTCTCACAAGACGTGCAGCTCTCCCTCGGGTTAAATAAGACTCCATTTCACTCACGCTCTATTGATCTGGGTTGCAGCAGAAGTGAGGAAGAGGAGGAGGAAGAGGAGGAGGTTATGAAAAGACCAGGAAATGATGGATACACGGATCGTGTTCAAATCAATAGGCACGCAATGACTCTAAAGAATAATGATCACGCACCAAACACACATTCAGACTAAAGGAACCAGCTGTTTGGAAAATGAGAGAAGTAGAAAGTACAAGTATTTGAGTTCAACATGTAAGAAGTAGAAAGTACAGGTATTTGAGTTCAACATGTAAGAAGTAGAAAGTACAGGTATTTGGGTTCAACATGTGAGAAGTAGAAAGTACAGGTATTTGAGTTCAAACATGTAAGAAGTAGAAAGTACAGGTATTGAGTTCAACATGTAAGAAGTAGAAAGTACAGGTATTTGAGTTCAACATGTAAGAAGTAGAAAGTACAGGTATTTGTGTTCAACATGTAAGAAGTAGAAAGTACAGGTATTTGAGTTCAACATGTGAGAAAGTAGAAAGTACAGGTATTTGAGTTCAACATGTAAGAAGTAGAAAGTACAGGTATTTGAGTTCAACATGTAAGAAGTAGAAAGTACAGGTATTTGTGTTCAACATGTAAGAAGTAGAAAGTACAGGTATTTGTGTTCAACATGTAAGAAGTAGAAAGTACAGGTATTTGAGTTCAACATGTGAGAAGTAGAAAGTACAGGTATTGAGTTCAACATGTAAGAAGTAGAAAGTACAGGTATTTGAGTTCAACATGTGAGAAGTAGAAAGTACAGGTATTTGGTTCAACATGTAAGAAGTAGAAAGTACCAGGTATTTGAGTTCAACATGTAAGAAGTAAGAAAGTACAGGTATTTGAGTTCACATGTGAGAAGTAGAAAGTACAGGTATTTGGGTTCAACATGTAAGAAGTAGAAAGTACAGGTATTTGAGTTCAACAAGTAAGAAGTAGAAAGTACAGGTATTTGGGTTCAACATGTGAGAAGTAGAAAGTACAGGTATTTGGGTTCAACATGTAAGAAGTAGAAAGTACAGGTATTTGAGTTCAACATGTAAGAAGTAGAAAGTACAGGTATTGAGTTCAACATGTAAGAAGTAGAAAGTACAGGTATTTGTGTTCAACATGTAAGAAGTAGAAAGTACAGGTATTTGTGTTCAACATGTAAGAAGTAGAAAGTTCAGGTTTTTGTGTTTCAACATGTGAGAAGTAGAAAGTACAGGTATTTGAGTTCAAACATGTGAGAAGTAGAAAGTACAGGTATTGTGTTCAACATGTAAGAAGCAGAAAGTACAGGTATTTGAGTTCAACATGTAAGAAGCAGAAAGTACAGGTATTTGGGTTCAACATGTAAGAAGTAGAAAGTACAGGTATTTGGGTTCAACATGTAAGAAGCAGAAAGTACAGGTATTTGAGTTCAACATGTAAGAAGTAGAAAGTACAGGTATTTGAGTTCAACAAGTAAGAAGTAGAAAGTACAGGTATTTGGGTTCAACATGTGAGAAGTAGAAAGTACAGGTATTTGGGTTCAACATGTAAGAAGTAGAAAGTACAGGTATTTGTGTTCAACATGTAAGAAGTAGAAAGTTCAGGTATTTGTGTTCAACATGTGAGAAGTAGAAAGTACAGGTATTTGAGTTCAACATGTGAGAAGTAGAAAAGTACAGGTATTTGGGTTCAACATGTAAGAAGTAGAAAGTACAGGTATTTGAGTTCAACATGTAAGAAGTAGAAAGTACAGGTATTTGAGTTCAACATGTAAGAATGAAAGTACGGTAATTTGTGTTTCAAACATGTAAAGAAGTAGAAGTACAGGTATTTGTGTTCAACATGTAAGAAGTAGAAAGTTCAGGTATTTGAGTTCAACATGTAAGAAGTAGAAAGTACAGGTATTTGTGTTCAACATGTAAGAAGTAGAAAGTACAGGTATTTGAGTTCAACATGTAAGAAGTAGAAAGTACAGTATTTGAGTTCAACATGTAAGAAGTAGAAAGTACAGGGATTTGAGTTCAAACATGTAAGAGTAGAAAGTACAAGTATTTGAGTTCAACATGTAAGAAGTAGAAAGTACAGGTATTTGTGTTCAACATGTAGAAGTAGAAAGTAACAGGTATTTGAGTTCAACATGTAAGAAGTAGAAAGTACAAGTATTTGAGTTCAACATGTAAGAAGTAGAAAGTACAGGTATTTGAGGTCAACAGGTAAGAAGTAGAAAGTAAAGCTATTTGTGTTCACATGTAAGAAGTAGAAAGTACAGGTATTTGAGTTCAACATGTAAGAAGTAGAAAGTACAGGTATTTGAGTTCAACATGTAAGAGAAAGTACAGGTATTTGTGTTCAACATGTAAGAAGTAGAAAGTACAGGTATTTGAGTTCAACATGTAAGAAGTAGAAAGTACAGGTATTTGAGTTCAACATGTAAGAAGTAGAAAGTACAGGTATTTGAGTTCAACATGTAAGAAGTAGAAAGTACAGGTATTTGAGTTCAACATGTAAGAAGTAGAAAGTACAGGTATTTGAGTTCAACATGTAAGAAGTAGAAAGTACAGGTATTTGAGTTCAACATGTAAGAAGTAGAAAGTACAGGTATTTGTGTTCAACATGAGAGAAGTAGAAAGTACAGGTATTTGAGTTCAACATGTAAGAAGTAGAAAGTACAGGTATTTGAGTTCAACATGTAAGAAGTAGAAAGTACAGGTATTTGAGTTCAACATGTAAGAAGTAGAAAGTACAGGTATTTGTGTTCAACATGTAAGAAGTAGAAAGTACAAGGTATTTGTGTTCAACATGTAAGAAGTAGAAAGTACAGGTATTTGTGTTCAACATGTAAGAAGTAGAAGTACAGGTATTTGAGTTCAACATGTAAGAAGTAGAAAGTACAGGTATTTGAGTTCAACATGTAAGAAGTAGAAAGTACAGGTATTTGAGTTCAACATGTAAGAAGTAGAAAGTACAGGTATTTGAGTTCAACATGTAAGAAGTAGAAAGTACAGGTATTTGAGTTCAACATGTAAGAAGTAGAAAGTACAGGTATTTGAGTTCAACATGTAAGAAGTAGAAAGTACAAGTATTTGAGTTCAACATGTAAGAAGTAGAAAGTACAGGTATTTGTGTTCAACATGTAAGAAGTAGAAAGTACAAGTATTTGAGTTCAACATGTAAGAAGTAGAAAGTACAGGTATTTGAGTTCAACATGTAAGAAGTAGAAAGTACAGGTATTTGAGTTCAACATGTAAGAAGTAGAAAGTACAGGTATTTGTGTTCAACATGTAAGAGTAGAAAGTACAGGTATTTGAGTTCACATGTAAGAAGTAGAAAGTACAGGTATTTGGTTCAACATGTAAGAAGTAGAAAGTACAGGTATTGGTTCAACATGTAAGAAGTAGAACAGTACAGGTATTTGAGTTCAACATGTAAGAAGTAAGAAAGTACAGGTATTGTGTTCAACATGTAAGAAGTAGAAAGTTACAGGTATTTGAGTTCAACATGTAAGAAGTAGAAAGTTACAGGTATTTGAGTTCAACATGTAAGAAGTAGAAAGTACAGGTATTGAGTTCAACATGTAAGAAGTAGAAAGTACAGGTATTTGGTTCAACATGTAAGAAGTAGAAAGTACAGGTATTTGGGTTCAACATGTAGAAGTAGAAAGAAGTTTACAGGTATTTGAGTTCAACATGTAAGAAGTAGAAAGTACAAGTATTTGAGTTCAACATGTAAGAAGTAGAAAGTACAAGTATTTGAGTTCAACATGTAAGAAGTAGAAAGTATAAGTATTTGAGTTCAACATGTAAGAAGTAGAAAGTACAGGTATTTGAGTTCAACATGTAAGAAGTAGAAAGTACAGGTATTTGAGTTCAACATGTAAGAAGTAGAAAGTACAGGTATTTGTGTTCAACATGTAAGAAGTAGAAAGTACAGGTATTTGAGTTCAACATGTAAGAAGTAGAAAGTCAGGTATTTGAGTTCAACATGTAAGAGTAGAAAGTACAGGTATTTGTGTTCAACATGTAAGAAGTAGAAAGTACAGGTATTTGAGTTCAACATGTAAGAAGTAGAAAGTACAGGTATTTGAGTTCAACATGTAAGAAGTAGAAAGTACAGGTATTTGAGTTCAACATGTAAGAAGTAGAAAGTACAGGTATTTGAGTTCAACATGTAAGAAGTAGAAAGTACAGGTATTTGAGTTCAACATGTAAGAAGTAGAAAGTACAGGTATTTGAGTTCAACATGTAAGAAGTAGAAAGTACAAGTATTTGAGTTCAACATGTAAGAAGTAGAAAGTACAGGTATTTGAGTTCAACATGTAGAAGTAGAAAGTACAGGTATTTGAGTTCAACATGTGAGAAGTAGAAAGTACAGGTATTTGTGTTCAACATGTAAGAAGTAGAAGTACAGGTATTTGAGTTCAACATGTAAGAAGTAGAAGTACAGGTATTTGAGTTCAACATGTGAGAAGTAGAAAGTACAGGTATTTGAGTTCAACATGTAAGAAGTAGAAAGTACAGGTATTTGAGTTCAACATGTAAGAAGTAGAAAGTACAGGTATTTGATGTTCAACATGTAAGAAGTAGAAAGTACAGGTATTTGATGTTCAAATGTAGAAGTAGAAAGTACAGGTATTGAGTTCAACATGTGAAGAAGTAGAAAGTACAGGTATTTGAGTTCAACATGTAAGAAGTAGAAAGTACAGGTATTTGATGTTCAACATGTAAGAAGTAGAAAGTACAGGTATTTGAGTTCAACATGTAAGAAGTAGAAAGTACAGGTATTTGAGTTCAACATGTAAGAAGTAGAAAGTACAAGGTATTTGAGTTCAACATGTAGAAGTAGAAAGTACAGGTATTTGAGTTCAACATGTAAGAAGTAGAAAGTACAGGTATTTGAGTTCACATGTAAGAAGTAGAAAGTACAGGTATTTGAGTTCAACATGTAAGAAGTAGAAAGTACAGTATTTGTGTTCAACATGTAAGAAGTAGAAAGTACAGGTATTTGTGTTCAACATGTAAGAAGTAGAAAGTACAGGTATTTGGTAACAGTGAGAAGTAGAAGTACAGGTATTTGAGTTTCAACATGTAAGAAGTAGAAAGTACAGGTATTTGAGTTCAACATGTAAGAAGTAGAAAGTACAGGTATTTGAGTTCAACATGTAAGAAGTAGAAAGTACAGGTATTTGAGTTCAACATGTAAGAAGTAGAAAGTACAGGTATTTGAGTTCAACATGTAAGAAGTAGAAAGTACAGGTATTTGATGTTCAACATGTAAGAAGTAGAAAGTACAGGTATTTGAGTTCAACATGTAAGAAGTAGAAAGTACAGGTATTTGAGTTCAACATGTAAGAAGTAGAAAGTACAGGTATTTGAGTTCAACATGTAAGAAGTAGAAAGTACAGGTATTTGTGTTCAACATGTAAGAAGTAGAAAGTACAGGTATTTGAGTTCAACATGTAAGAAGTAGAAAGTACAGGTATTTGAGTTCAACATGTAAGAAGTAGAAAGTACAGGTATTTGAGTTCAACATGTAAGAAGTAGAAAGTACAGGTATTTGTGTTCAACATGTGAGAAGTAGAAAGTACAGGTATTTGGTTCAACATGTAAGAAGTAGAAAGTACAGGTATTTGGTTCAACATGTAAGAAGTAGAAAGTACAGGTATTTGAGTTCAACATGTAAGAAGTAGAAAGTACAGGTATTTGAGTTCAACATGTAAGAAGTAGAAAGTACAGGTATTTGAGTTCAACATGTAAGAAGTAGAAAGTACAGGTATTTGAGTTCAACATGTAAGAAGTAGAAAGTACAGGTATTTGAGTTCAACATGTAAGAAGTAAGAAAGTACAGGTATTTGAGTTCAACATGTAAGAAGTAGAAAGTACAGGTATTTGAGTTCAACATGTAAGAAGTAGAAAGTACAGGTATTTGAGTTCAACATGTAAGAAGTAGAAAGTACAGGTATTTGAGTTCAACATGTAAGAAGTAGAAAGTACAGGTATTTGAGTTCAACATGTAAGAAGTAGAAAGTACAGGTATTTGAGTTCAACATGTAAGAAGTAGAAAGTACAGGTATTTGTGTTCAACATGTAAGAAGTAGAAAGTACAGGTATTTGAGTTCAACATGTAAGAAGTAGAAAGTACAGGTATTTGTGTTCAAAATGTAAGAAGTCAAAGTAAAAAGTCGTCAGAAAAATAAGTAGTGGAGTAAAGTACTGATACCAGAAACATATACTTAAGTACAGTAACAAAGTATTTGTACTCCACTACTTCCCTCCTCCATCTCTCTCCATCTCTCTCTTCTATTCTCTCTCAGCTTCTCTCTTCTCTTCTCTCTCAGCTTTCTTCTCTTCTCTCTCTCTTCTCTTCTTTCTCTCTCTCTCTCTGAGAGGAAACGCTCCTGAAATCTCTCTAGTTCTGACAGCCTTATGGCCCTACAAGTTTGTGTAATGACAGGTTTTATTTTCCACTGACTGATTGGAGGGGTATCTTTTTGGCAGGGAGATTTATATATTTCAGGATCCTTCATGTTTTATATCCAGCAAGAATATAACAGAAGAGGAATCTGAGGGTTACAGAATGTGCTGTGAGGAAATCAATCCATTCGTTTAACAGAGAGGTGAGAAGAGGATGTGTTTGTTGGAACTAGACGTACAAATCTCTTCAGCTTGTGTTGAATAAGTAGTGGAGTAAAGCACTGATACCAGAACAATGTAGTTAAGTGCAGTAAGGAAGTATTTGTACGTGGTGTGGTCGTTGATGGGTCTGTGGCTCTGCTCTCCATCGTGGATGCTCTCTCCTTGGACCGGTGACCAGCGAAAAGCATGAGTGGAGACGAGAGAGGAGTCGTTGCTCTGCCAGCCGCAGGTGTCCCCGCCCTCGAAATCACAACGCTCCCTCACTGGAGGAAGAGGAAGAGGGAGAGGAAGGAGAAGGGTGGGAGACATTAGACACTGTGTGGTTAATATGCGGAATAAAAAAGTCAGAAAAAAGTCAAGATTATGAGAAAGAAGTCAGAGGAAATAATTATGAGAGAAGAAGTCCGAAAAAATAGTTAAAATTGTCAGAAAAAAAGTCAGAAAAATATTTATCTCCATAATCTTTTGTCTATGTAATGTCAAAGAAATAATGCCACAATGGTCAGCTGGTGAAAGAGTAGAGAGGGAAACATTACACAGTGCAGTAAATGTGAAATCTTTACCACAGTATAACTCGTCCGATCCGTCAGAACAATCCAGACTGAAGTCACACACTTTGCTGTCGGGAACACACTCTCTAAAACTCCCACAAGCAAACTGTCCATCAGGGCAGACGTGGGGCCGAACAGTGGGGGGGGGGTCGTCACTGAGGGGGTCGTGGTGTTAACATCCGGGAGATCA